TTTGATTTTTGTTGACAACAACTATGCGTCGCTTAACATACGTCACGCACTCCGTTGCTCTTATTGGTTGTAGGTCTATCCAATTGAGTGCAGAGGCATTTTTTTCCCCTTGTTCGTTCAAAACACGCCCCATAATCACAGCTCTATGGAGCAGTATCGGACTCATATTCTGACTAGAATTGAGTAGGACTACGTCAGGCTAAGGCCACTTGGCTATGTGGTCCTGAATCCGATACGAATCTGATCTTTTCAAATGCAACCTGTGTCCGAATGGCTGGGCCGCATTCATCCGAACTGAACGCCTTTGATACCCGACAAAGGTTACTATTCTGGATCTTGCTTTGAAGAAGTGGCAAGAAAAACAACAACCATGGCAGACGATGATGCGGAGAGCAGTATTTATGTTTAACCATCTTGAGAAGATTGTTTTGATGGCTGGAAAAGATCGCTAGATGCTCTCCAGCACTACCATCCATGTTTACTTACGTAAACATAGAGCATGCTGGCCTGTGATGTCATTACGTCTTCTACTGCGCATGTGGGACACACGTGTTGTATCACACAGGAGATCACATACGAGTCGCATATATTTAGGCCCGAGCAGCGACAGCGTTGCAAAGGCCTATTGTATTTGGACATTTGATTTGACAAAAAAAATCAGAATTGAGCATCACGGCCTGCATTGTGAACGTAGCCTTTGATGCATCCCTTTTCCAACACACCTGAATCAAATGAGTGTCTCATTATTCACTCATTACTTTCAGCTGTGTTTGAGAAGAGCTACATCTAAGAAGTTGAGGACTGAACTGGGCACCTCTGATATAAACATTTTCGGTGGCCAGTTCATAATCTTAAATCCAGATCATATTCTGACACCTGAATCTAACAAAAGACTCAATATCAGGCCTATATAGAACCTGATGACAAATTCAGGAAGAAAACTCAGCAAGTAACTCAGCTGAATTGCAGCAAGACTAAATCTAAAATATGTAAGATAAAAGAATCAATAAGTTTATGTAATGTATGAATTGAGAAAATAAGGATATGACACAGGAATGAAAAGAAAAGCTATGATTGGTATTCTTGCCTTCCTGTACGTAGGAAGTGCAGAAGACTACACTGGAATGGCGAAATCAGAAACCGATCAGCCAAAGATTGGAACTGGACAATTTGAGCCCCACAAGCTCTGATTAATAACCATTAGGTCAAGTACTAAGCTCCAAATGATTAAATACATTCGAACTAAGAACTCCAACCCTTTTCGGTCCATAAACACATTAGCAGCACTTTCTGAGCTTAGTAAACAGACACAATTTCCTGCAAACAGGGAGAATTCCTTCATTTCTGTCTCTATCAAAGACATGTGCAGCACATCTCAGGATAAAGTAGAAACCCAAACCTACTAACAAAATTAAATAAAAAAAACAAGAATTTGCTTTTTTATACATATTTTCAACCTTTTTCTAATGCTTTTGTCGTTTTTGATCTCAAGGCAGAACAAATGGAAAAAATAAAAAAATAAAAATCAAGGCCTTAACTCATAAAGCGTCAAGCTACCTCTGCTGGACGGTGGGGCTCTGAACCCCTCTAGAGTCCTCCCTCCCCCACCCCCACCACTTCTAAAGATTTATGACCAAATAACATAACAATGCACACAGACACCATGGTCAATCTGAGAGTGTGTGTGTTTTGGAAGGGGAGTGAGGGGCCCAGGCAGCAGGAGACGGATGGCTGGTGTGTAAGCTGCCGGCAGACAGCAGACAGGCCAGCCCGAGGAATCCTCCAAGGAGTATGGAACTCCCATTCACTGTCTGTCTGTCTGTCTATCTGCCCTACAGCTAAACACAAACGCATGACTGTGTGTTGGTGTGTGTTATTTTACTACCGCTGCCTCCGGCCAGCACACTTTGATATATATATATACTATTATATATACTATATATACTATTATATCATAATAGCAAAGGCTTAACTAAAGCGAAATTAAAAAGCAGATTAATAATTTAGTTAAATTAGGAATCCCAGCTAGATGTAGTCTTTGGGAGAGGGGGGGGGAATCTGCGTGTCAGTCCTAATGAATAATAAAAACTTTGTTTTCACGCTGCATTTCTTTGCACTACTTTCCAAATGCTGCTATCGCCGCTGTTTGCGTCTGTGTGTATGTGTGTGTTATTATGAGTGCGGTTCACACCGAGTACAGCTCGGCAGACTAGACACAGTCAACGTGGGCCGGTCTCCTGGTTGCTGAATAATGGATCAGAGACGGACTCCCGCTCTGCCTAATGCAGTCTGATCTGATGTGACTGTGATCTCCGTTGACTGGTGTGGACCACAGAGAGCTGACAGCCCCCTCTATGGGCTGGTCAACCACACACAGAGCCATGCAGATAAAAAAAACAAAAAAAGAAAATAGAAATCAACTCCACAAACACACACGAAGATCTTTAATCCATCACACGCCCTGAACCAGGCTCTTTAGTAGGCAGCTCTGATGCTTCAGCACTTCCAACCGCCCAGAGTTTTAGTGCCGATTCCTATTGAGCCCGTTAGAGCTCGGTAATGAATCCTGTCGCTCGTCTGGCCTGGCTCAGATTCCTCCTCCACATACCAGGGAGATGCCAGGGGCCACACAGACGCCAGAGGAGCCTTCCTAAATCACAGCCTTGTTGCACTCATGAATGTGTGAGTCCTGTTCGCCGATCTAGCCTATCACCCTATGTGTTCCTGCTGGTTAAACAGTTACTGCTGAAAAGGAGAAAAGATACGATGTGGAACCAACACCTTTTGTGTAAACCCGGAGGATTACATACTGAAGTCAACTGTCACGATCCTCATGCTGTGGTGACTATAATGGGCCTACTGTCAACTCCATCGAGAGCTGACAATTTTCTATCCACCGTCTACACCATTCATCCATTATTCATGCTACCATCAATAATTCACCATGGCGACATTACCAATAATAACACAACAATACTTTGTTTTCACTGTGAGCTTTAAAATGTGTTGCCTTGGTAACAGAGATGAAACAAATATTCCCAGGAGGAGCAATGGGAACACAGGAACGGGACAGAATTCCCTCCTGATCCCACTTAGTAGTGTTGTCACACTCTTTTTCTCTCTTACCCCTCCTGTTCAGCCCTGTTCTGCCTCTTCTCTCTCTCCCTCTCTCTCTCCGTCTCTCTCTCTCTCACACACACACACAGGGACCACACTTCTGCTCACATAAAAAACTAGGTCAGATAATACAAACTCCTGAGGGGGTTTCTGTTTTGTCTCTTTAGGATTTCAGGGAAACTAATGGAGGGACTATTTTTGGGAGACAAGCCTGCATCCCTGCTCTGCCTTCTCCTCCTCTGCTTTGTCAGTAAATAATCACAGCGGCGTTTATGAATAAAGCAGATGCAGAGACGCACTCAGACGAACCATCAAGGTGTGTTTGGACTATGCAGCAGAGTGGTTTTTTTTCCACCCAGAGCTTCCTGTTTTACCCTGGCTGCTGGGGTCTTTAACCAGACTGGTAAAGCTAACCCAATGTGTTGAGGCTGAAAGGCTCCCTCCTATTCCAGGAACTGCATCATGTTCAGCCTCTGTGTGGAAGACAGGCTCCCACCATAGAAATAAAAGTGAAACATTTCAGCAGGAAAACTCTGATCTGTGATTCGGCCATAGAGAAAAGACTTTAGAACTTCTGTAAAGTCGGTGCTTATTTTGGAAATCTGCAGAAAACGGAACTAGTTTAGTCCAGAGATTTCTGTAAAGTTTTTTTTTTTTTATGCAGCACACCAGAAAGCTCTATTCCACATTGCAACCATAAATTCCTATCCAGCAATAGTATGTCATTTCACCACAGTAATGTGACGTGTTGCAGAGTAGAATTTGCTACACAAACAAGCAATGGCTGCCTCCTCTCTTTCAGTCTTAAAATCAGTTATTGAAATAAACAATGTCCTTGTTTTGATTCTTTAAACTATTTTATGTAGATGTTGGCACTACGTGTCACATTCAATAACAATCTTGGAGTTGAAATAAGCAGGAAGTAGCAGAAGCAGAAAGCTTGATTGTCCAGAACCCATTGTTGCAGGACTTAACTTTAACCTTTGTTGAGCTATGTTGTTCCTTCTACCATCCTGCATAGATCTGCGTCCTAGCTGCAACTCTCTCTTCCCTTCTGGTGGTGGCAAACACACTTAAAGCATATTAATAAAGGTTTGGAATGAGAGTCAGCTCCTTGACCAAAACTAAGTACCTTTGATTCAAAAATAAAAATGCCTTTATTCTAATTTTGATTATATTGCAAATGCAATAAATTGCCCGGCCCTAATTCAATTTAAGTGTAGATTTCTAAGTAAACTTTGAAAAGAGAAAAAATGAGCAACTCCTCCTTTCAAATATTTCAGGGCCTACTGTCTTTCTCTCTCTTTAAGACCCAGAAAACAGGAACTTAACATAAAATGTAACCTAGAACTTTTCAAACTTTTTATAAAAAAAATTTTTTTAATCGTATAATCACTTTAACAGAATAACTGGTGAAAATTGAATCTTTAAAAATAACTTTATGCAAGAAATGGCACTCCAGAAGCCACACAATAAATCAAAAAGTTTGAGAAAATATTTTTAACCCATCCAGAGCAAAACTCTGCCCTCTGTTCTGGAAATATACAAGAGTTCCCACCTCTCAAAAAGGTCCACTTAGTGGGGTGTAAACAGCAAAACACTAACTCAATAAATCAGAATATGTATTCCATTAAGGCTTGTTTATCAGAATAACCTTTAAGCAGGTATTGAACATATTTCTTAAAAAATCACTTTTCCTCATTGTGTTTTGAATAACGGTAAGCATAAAATCATCATTAACAGTAATTAACCAGTTTATTGTGCTACTGGTTTCACTTGGTGTACTGAGTAACTGAATGACACGTTTTTAATGATATTCTGATTTATTGAGCTTAAAAGTAAACACAATTAGGCTGGTAGTCTACAGGTTTCACTTCTCTCACCTCTGGAGTCGTCTTCTTAAATTCCCGGCTCAGGTCGATTAGTTTCTTTCTTGACTGTTCGCTCTCATCCTGTCTGTTGGCAAGCTGTGTGGCGGTGGCATCTAGTTCTTTCTGCAACAGAAACACAAATTAAATTGTTTGTTTGCTTTTTGTTCTAGTTTGTGTTCAACCATGTCTAACAGCACCATTATTGTTAGTCATTAAAATGAACAACCCTAACATTCAGAAGCCATTTTTAAACAGTCCATCAAGCTGGGGACCACCCACAGGACACACTACAACACCTCTCTGCAGCCAGGAAATGCTCTGCTACTCCTGGCAGTAACATCCTCGTCATCAAGCCCCATCCGTCAATCACACACATCTGTGTCAGACGCATAAAGCTGCAGCAAAAGGCTGCAGTTTGGATAAATTCAAGGCAGTTTACAACAATCATTAACTGTCAGCCCCAGAAGACTCCTCCCCACTGAGTAACATAACAACAGCAACAATTATCAAAAACAGTGTTGTCAAGGCTGATCGCAGGCCCGCCTTTCACCACATTTATTTTGCATTGTTATTAATAGCTATTCATGGGCCGTGTTCCAGACGATGGGTTGATTTCTGACATTAACAACGCATCCAAGACTTGTACTGATTGTATCTCTCTTTGCCGACTATGTGGCAATTGTTGGAATTATGTTTCTCTTGGATTTCTGCCCTCTCTTTTTTCCCTCCTCTGCAGCCGCTCTACAGATCATCCACTCACTCATCTAAGCAGCCGTTTCTCAGTTTAGTCTCCTCAGTTTAAACCTATCCTTCATTGCCCCCCCCTCCTGTTAGGAGGTCCACCCCTGAGAGTGATTAAATGCTGCTGAAGGGCCGTTATGCTAACTAACGCACTAATCATTTAATACACACATTACCACAGGGGCCCCTGTGGCCCAGTCCGCTGACAAGGTCCCAAAACACACTCATGCTTATATGCCCACACCCCTCGAAAACACACAATACAATCCTCTAAAGAAATGTTGTGATCAAGTACTAATTAGTAGATTTCCCCTCATCAGCATTAAGTTTAATTCCCTGGATAGCTTCATTTCTGTTTTAGTCACAAAATGAGGAGGAAAAAAAAGGCAGGCATTCTGCTATAGACACTTTTAGCAGTGCAAGATGTTGGGTAAAAAATAAAAACTTGCTTACACGCCATCTTGCTCTTGCTGCCCATGGTGCAGTTGATGAAGCAGCCTGTCTGCCTTTGGCCATGGAGCAGCTGCGCTATGTGTAAGTGAATTCGAGCGGACGCGGGCGTTTGTGCAAAGCATGACGAAAGGAGGAGCCTAACACGTTTTATCACTTGAAAGTAACTGTCAGAAACTAGGTGCTCCACTTCGTGGAAGAAGATCAGCATACGGAGCGAGGATTTCTGGTTCACAGGAAGACAGTGTGATGATCAAGGGAAAAATTAACCCCTTCCAACCTAAGGCTGATTGTTCTCGTATCAAACACCTTTCTATAGCCTATATAAAAGAGCAAAGAATAGTTTATAACAAGGTGATGACGGGGTAAGCATGAGGAAAATAGTGTGACTCCTTTATTTCCTGTTGCATTTAAAGACTAAAGGTTCTGCAAAATTAAAATGTATGCAGCAGTTTTTTGTCTTTTAATATAGGCTGAATTGAAATAAAATATGAAAAAGCCAATCAATACATCTCTATACCAATGTCCAGCATTTATCCCACCATGTTACTGAAACACCATTAGAAATTCTCATCACTAAACTCAACACATTACATATTAAAAAAAAGGGATTAACTTAGTGCCAAGTGGTTAAGTGATTATACGCGTCTTGTTGGGGGGAAGAATATTTTAACTTTAGACCCGATCAGGTATTGACTATGCAGCAGACTCTATGCCCACTTCAGCAAACCGGAATGGACTTTACACTGGTTTCACCAATGAAGCATGACGTCCCAGAGTCCACAAACCCTCCTCCCAGAACTTATTCTTACACATTAATCCACATATTGAAGAAAAAAAATCAGACACCAAAACTTCATCAAGGGTTTGGTATTAGCCAACACACTTTGGTGGTTTCTCTGCTGTTTTTGCATTACATATGTTAAAAAAAAAGGGGGGGGGGGGGGACAATACTTCAAACATCAGCTTAAGGTCCTGTCCACGCTCACGCAAATAAGGTTTTCTAATAATAGGGTTTTCTTTATTCTCTTTGTGTTTGTGTAAACATAAGCTGAAGACAAACCTCCATCTTTCTACAGTTCCTGAAAGACAAATATTGATATGGAAACATTACACATTCAGCCTACAAACATGCTTCCCTTTTCCTGAAAGGTTAGATTTTCATAGTAAAAATAGCTGATGTATTCTTCAGATACGAATGTTAATTTCCGACCTCTTCCATCAAACTGTTCTCATACCAACCTTTCCAGCTCACTGATCCTTCCTAGCACCCACTTTGGGGCTGATATTACTGCTGAGGCTAAATATAGCAGATAGCTTAATTAACAGATGGCTAAACAGAAAGATGAGGACCTCTCATTTTTATAAACAGTGAACACAGACAGGCCAAAAGTGAATTTGAAGCAGACTGCAAAGAGGTCAACTGGACAAACTTGACTTTTAGAGTCCAGAAAATCTGTTTCTGATAAACAGATCAAGTACAGACTGAAAGATCTTTAATTAGGTCAAGTTTACATTACATGAGGGAATACAAATAACTTTTTGTATTTTTTTTGTGCCTTTTATTCAAGCTGAGGTTTATTAAAAATATTTCTTTATTACATATTTGATAACAACAATTATACATTTATAAAAATAAAAAAAAGCTTTACACGTCAAGCTGTCAAACAACTGGAAAAGAAATTTTGCAGTGAGTAATCTATATTAGAGGAATACAGTTTTCAGCAAAAGTGAAATTGCCGTGTCAAATAATGACGCTTCATCAAGTACCAGAAAGCCAATAGAACCTCAAAATAAATGGTAAATGACCTGTAACCATGCCGCACTTTTTCAAGTGAGGAGTCTTGATCAAAGCGCTTTACACTACATTCATTCACTCACCCATTTACACCCTGATGGGGGTAAGCTACATTGTAGACACAGCCTCCCTGGCTGCCGTACACTGGCACCACCATCAGTGGGCAATGCGAGTGAAGGGTCTTGCCCCTAGACACTAACAGAGCTTGAACCAACAAGACTTCGGATGCAGGACAAACTCCTGCATCCAACGCCACTATCACATAGAAGTCATTTTTGTCATCTTTAGGCATGAAAAAAAACATACATCCATCCATCTTCTGTCAAGCTTATCCCAACCAGGGTTGCGAGGGGTGCTGGTGACCATTTCCAGCTGTCTACATGCCAGTCCATCGCAGGGCAACACAGACAAACAACCATTCACACACTCACTCCTAAGGACAATTTAGAGAAACCAATTAAACTAACAGCCGGAGGAAGCCGGAGTACCCGGAGAGAACCCACGCATGCTCAGGAAGAACATGCAAAGTCCATGCAGAAAGATCCGGGCCAGGAATTGAACCTGGAACCTTCTTGCTGCAAGGCTGGTATCTCATTAACAACATTTCAAACAAGATAAAGCTCTCTCCAAGTGTGTTGGGCATTAATAAGCAAAGCGCCGTCCTCACTCCACCTGTTGCTTAACACTGCCGGTCAAATGGCTAAGAGTTATAAGAATTTAGGAAAAGTATCTGATAATAAAAAAAAAAAAAAAAAACAGCCAGTAATAGTGAGAAAATTAAGTTGAACTGAGCTAAACAACATGGCCTCAATAGTCCAGGGTTTTGGAAACTAAACACGGACAAGATGGAAGAAATGTTTTGGTTTTTTTCAAAGAGAGGAAAACTTTGTGCACATCCACATCCCAGCTTTTTGTGTTGTGCCCCTTGAAATTAAACAAATGTTTTCATACACTGTCCAATCAATCTTTGTGACAGTTTAATTGCAGTTAAACATATTGTAATGAAACAAAATCATAAAACTACCTCCTTAAAGTGTCATTATTCTAAGTTTGTCTGTTAATTTTACAGTGTTACATTTATTTAACTCCTCTCTGTCCCCCGCTGGCCTATTGCACCAATATTTCTGTTTAAAAGCTTTGTTATATATATATATATATATATATATATATATATCAGCGGCGTAGGAAGCGGGGGGGACGGGGGGGACATGTCCCCCCCAATATAAAAGCCAGGTGGATATGTCCCCTCCAAAAATTGTACCGCAAAATATTAGATTTTGACATTTTTTTTAACTAGCGTGCTTTTATTTTGAAGGCGCAGCATAGCGTTACGTCACTGTACTCCCCCTCCCCTCTCTGAACTGCTGAGTGTTTGAGCACTCAGTCAGCAGGGAGGGAAACGGCGACACAGAAATCAGAAACTTGTGAAAGAGGTAAAATAGTCTGTCGGGATGCTGCTATGAATATTGCCCATTTATAACGTTTTGTTTTTAGTTCACTTTCATATATAGAAACTGAATCTTTTTGGTTTAGTCATCTTAGTCTTGTACGGAAGAGGATTAGGGCCACTGGAAAAAAAAAGTTAACTGATTTTTACATTTTTTTTTTAGTTTAACATGGGGAAAAAAGTCAGAATTCTGACTTTTCTCAGAATTCTGACTTTTTTCTTCTGACTTTTTTCTCAGAATTCTTACTTTAATCTCAGAATTCTGACTTTTTTCTCAGAAATCTGACAGATGATTAATATTTCTAATCAATTTACAGTGTTTTTATTTTTTTTCGGGGGGTACTTATACAGATACATAAAAACAAGTAGGTCTAACTAAAAAATAACCAGAATATATGTTTAGAGTAAAGATTGACTAGTGTTTACACAAGCACACAATTTCAAATCTGCTCAGCTTGCTGTGCAAGAAAATGTAAAATATACGTATAAAGAAATATAACAGGAAGTACTGCTAAAACATAAACTAAATGTTAAATAATGTAGATATTGGTTTAAAAAATTCTTCAGATTTGGAAATTTGGAAGGAATACATAATTTTGAAATTAATCAACAAATCTGGTAAAAAAAACAACAAAAAGAAATAAAAAATAAAAGTTGCACTTTTTTACTTGAGGAATTTGTTGAATA